AACGACTTTATTCAACAATTCGTCTCCTCTGTGTCTCTCCGCATCACTGTAGCGCCATTTTGGAGAATATCCGCTGAACGCAAGCAGCGCACGCTCTTCTGTGTCAGCTGTGCTGCACGGATGCGCTGTTTTCGTTCAAATCAAAGCGTAAATACACGTAGAAAACGTATCCTTGTGTCGCGGCTGACACAGAATAGCGTACGCTGCTTGCGTTCAGCGGATATTTTTCAAAATGGTGCTACGGTGATGCGGAGGAGACGGATTGTTGAATAAAGTCGTTATTTTTGTTTTCTTCATGTACAAAAAGTATTCTCGTTGCTTCACAACGTTACGGTTGAACCACTGATGACAGATGGACTATTCTGACAATGTCTTTCATACTTTTCTGGACCTTGACAGTGTAATTTACTTGGCAGTCAATGTGACAGTCACAAGCCTCCCGGTTTTCATCCAAAATATCTTAAATTGTGTTCCGAAGACGAACAAAGCTTTTACGGGTTTGGAACGACATGGGGGTAAGTGATTAATGAAAACATTTTCATTTTGGGGTGGAGTATCCCTTTAACACCCAACTTTTTTACATCTAGCTGGTGCAACCGGCTCCAGAAGTTTAAAGAACTAAGGGATCATACTCTTTCATATATTAATTTACATGACTTTTCATGACAATCAATGTGATTTAAGGGAAAGAGAGAGAGATACTATTTTTCTATGGTCTAAATTTCTATGTGACTAAATATTTTAGCGTTTGGCATTACTAGAAAATGGTATATTCAATATAGAAATGCCCATGGTATTTGAATTTATTGTTGTTGTTTTTTAAATCAATTTGTCAAATTGTCTAAAATAAAATTCATAAATACCTTATTATTTAATTGTATTAGCTTATTTTAAAGTTTGTTGTATCTTATTTTAAATAATTTAAGTCATCTTGAGGCCCTCTTTGAAATTTGCAGAGGCCCCTTGGTTGAGAACCACTGCATTATGGGATTTCCAGAAGGGATTGGCTTTTTGAAGTCTTTGTGTTGGTATTGTGCTTGTGATGCCTTAAAAACAGCGCCTAAGTAGGCAGCGTACTAGGTTTTAGAACACAGCCACCTTGCAGCTCTAGAAACTGTCATAAATAAAAAGCTAATGTTCCATAAAGTTGAATATTGATTCATCTATTTATTACAGAAACCCTGGTTTCATAATTTGCGGGAGATGTGGAATGGCTATCCCAGACAGGTGTGTTCCAGTCTTCAGATCTTTAATTTGCTCGTACTTGTTCCAAGGGATATTTTATTGTTCATATCACCTGCACTAATAAGAACAGGCGAGGTATTGTTCACTTTGACCCGGCCCCGATAAAGGGTTCACGCAATGCTCAAATTTAAAGCACGGCTAATAAATAATGCAGATAATAAGACTCACGCTAGTTCCAAATCAAGCATGGCCATATTTAGAAGAAAGATGTTTTTTTTTGGCCCAGCTGAAGGTTTTTTTTGGATCCGTTCACACATGTTATATGAGTTCCAGGTTGTAATCAAAAGAACAGTGATGTCGTTCAGATTGGCACTCAAAACATTGAGTTTCCTAGAATAATCACTTAAAAAAAATAAAAAAAGAGCCCTCTTCAAAGCACAATGAATTACATAAAATTCACATTGAGTTATAACTCGGATTCTTTTACATTTTCCATCATAAAAATGTAACGTGGTCATCTCTTGTTATTGTGCATGTTTCTGAGAGCTTATTGTTGTGTTTTTGCTCGTGCAGTCCATGCTGGAGTCCCAGTACTGCTATTATATTGTGGAGATGAGCTTCTATTTGTCACTAGTGCTCAGAATAACCTTCGATGTCAAACGAAAGGTCAGTATCATGTGACACCACACTGTCTTCTGGAAGCATTTTAACTACTTGAAATCTTTCAAATTACATCTCAAACTTTTTCGTTTGCGCCTAACCATTCATCACATGACCTGAAATAAACATCCGATCATTATTCACACAATGAAAGCTATTGTAATCGATCATTTAAAGCCAGATTGATTTGTTGTTGTTTTTATCTTATCTAACCGCACTTTTTCTCTGTCACTGAGAATGATTGTGAAAACTTTCCGTGAATGTTTCTCATATATATTTATTTCAGGACTTTAAAGAGCAGATCGTCCATCATTGGGCCACACTGACGCTCTTGGCTTTCTCATGGTGTGGGAACTACATCCGGGTCGGGACCCTGGTCATGCTCATTCACGATTCCTCTGATATTCTTTTGGAGGTTAATGATATGCCAAATCTTATATTATTTGGTTATTCTCTATGGCATTTACCCCTGTATTAGAGAGTGACAGGACATTTGTTTGGTGGACTGGGATCAGGAAACATTGCAGGCTGGATGTTTTTATGAATAATTTCTTGCATTCAAGGTTTACACAACCAAAAACAGTAATGTCTCACTTTGCACTCAGGCAAAATACAACTTTATTCTAACCAGATACTATCTAGAATGACAAGTGAAGGGGATGAGGCTACTGGTTATTAAAAAAAGGGACAAATCCTCCAATATGTCACTCAATAAAATCCAGTTTTTGCAGGGAAAACATTTGTCAACCCATTTAATGTAGTCTAAACTAAACAATTGATGTTCTTATTGGTTTCATATGGTTGACACCAGTGTTGTTTTAGAATTGGTGAGAAACTATAGTTTTTGTTAATATTTAGAATTAGTTTTTATTTTGATGTTTTCATTTTTTTTTCCTATTTTAATTAGTCTTTTTTTTTTGTTTTAAATATGTCTAAATAGTTATTTTTATAGTATTATTTTATAGTTTATTTCAGGTTTAGTTTGAGTTATTTTAATACATCAAGCTCAACTAAATGAAATGAGCTGAAATACTGACAAACATATATATATATATATATATATATATATAAGATAAGATCGCTGCACCACTATTATCTGCTCAACAAAACAAAATTCAACCGGACGAGCCCCCAATTTATGTTACAAACCCCTGTTAAGTTTAGCCAGAAAGGGGGATGTAGCATAAAGAGGACATGTGAATCCAAATGCCAGATGAAAAGATTTATTTAAATAACAAAACGAAACATAACACAAATTGAAAAGACGTATCCAAACGAAGAAAACGGAAAACACAAATTAACATACCCACGGAGTAACTCCAAAGTATAAAGTCAACAAAAGAAAAACAAACCCAAAATTTAAGAATTAAGAAAAGGGGTAATAAAGCTTGTTTGCTGGTGGATCTCCTTCCCTTCCATGCTCCGCTTCAGCATCCTTTATATAGCTAGTAATCACTCATTCCATGAGACGCAGGTGCACCGGGGCGGACCTAAACAATCAGACTCAAAGAGAAAGATTAGGGGAGACATGACGTCACATGAAGGAAGATACACTCAAGGCATAGGCCGTAACAATATATATTAGGGCTGGGCAAGTTAATGCGTTATCGCATTAATGCATTAATTGATTAACGCTGACAACTGTTTTAAATAATTTCAAATAATCAATTATTTTATCGCGCATTAACGCATTTTTTTTTATTATGAGCTGAAATACTGACATATATATATATATATATATATATATATATATATATAT